CCAATACTGTAACCAGACCTCCTGCTGCAGTACAGATGTGCTTACTGGTAGGGTGCGAGAAACATGAAATCTCTGAAAGAAAAGTGTAACCATTATTTATTTTTTGGTGCAAATGCTTTGGGAGAAAGCTGTTGCCTGTCTGCTTTAATGTCTCTGATCTCAATCCTATGGGTAGAAATGCTGTGCTATATAGAAGCCCTATGAAATATACCTATGTATATGATATGTATATCATATATGTATATGTATACATATGATATGTATACAAATATACATATCTATTGATATGAGAAGATCAGTCCAGACCTGGTAGCCTGAGAGGGGCAAGGCTGCCACCGCAGCTCCACGCCCCCAGGTCCAAGCAGTGGCCAGGCCGAGCTTGTATTCCCAGTAGGCACATGCACAAATACACATATACACCACTTAAACACCTATACACAGATGGCCACACAGAACATTCACACGAACACAGCACCAGCGGCCTCATCCCAGCCCCTCCTCTGGCTGAGCAGGATGGAGGTGTGCTAGTGAGCATATGTGTGTATATACATACACACACATATGTACAATGTGGCTCCCTCCAGCAGCTGGGCTCAGGCAGTCTGCCCAGTAGCTGCCCCTGGATCCCAGTCTCTCCAGTCCCCCTGGTCCCCCAGTAGCCAACTCCCCCATGGTGGTCTTGCCCCCAGGGACCCCCAGGTCCCGAAGCCCTGGGGATGGGACAGCTGGACGGGACTCCCCCGGCCCCCCTGGCAGCCAGCTCCTCCCTCGCAGACCCCTCCCGGCCCCCAGGCCCCCTCACCGGCTGGTCCAGCTGCAACCCTCGCTGCCGCTCACACGCTCACCTGCACGCCCGCACCCTTGCCAGGTGCTGCCCCATGGGCACGAGCCTCAGCCGCTGGCACCCAGACCCCCCCACACACACCCTGCGTGTGGTAACGAGAGTCCCTCGCCCAGGGCAAAGTGCGAAAGGAGTTTAATGAGAAGACGGGACAGCCTGCGCTGATCAGGCGCAGGGCATGGCCAGACAAACCATCACAAACCACTTACACGCGACCGGCCCTTTTTATTCCCGTATCCCTCTGTTCTCCCACACTTGTTCCTCCACAAATCACCTAGATCCCTCCCTTTCCCGCCTTTGGTTCCTCCCCTAAACATCCCCTAATGAGTCCTGTGCAATCCCCAAACG